GTCATCAGGGGTTTGCAAATTAAAACACCAATAAGATACCACTACACGCATATTTAATGACCAAAATCTTGAATACTATCAAGACCAAATGTCGGCAAAAATGTGAAGAAACAGGACCTCTCATTCACTGCTGCTGGGAATGCAAAATGGTGCAGCCACCTTTGAAGACAGTTTGACAGTATCTTATAAAACAAAACATAGACTCAACACACAATCCACCAATCTACTCCTTGGTTTTTATCTAAAGGAATCTAAAACTTACGTCCACAGAAAAACCTGCACACTGATGTTTTTACAGCTTCATCTGTAATTGCCAGAACTTGGAAGTAACCTTGAAAAACCTGAAGATGTCCTTCGGTAGGTGAATGGATAAATAAACTAAGGTACATCCCAAATAAAGAAATATTTTTCAGCACTAAGAAAAAATGAGGCACCAAGCCATGAAAAGACACACAAGCCATGACAAAAAAAAAAAAAAAATTCAGGAAACTTAAATTCACACTACTAAGTGAAAGAAACCAGCCTGAAAAGATCAAATACTGTATGCTTCCAGATATATGACGTTCTGGGAAAGGTAAAAACTATAAAGACAGTAAAGAGATCAGTGGTTGCCAGGGGTTGGGAAGTTTGGAGAGATAACAGGCGGAGCACAGAAGGTTTTTAGGGCAATATAACCGCTCTGTATGGTAACATAAAGACTGTACGCGTCATCCTATGTTTGTCCAAACCCACACAAGGTACAACAGCCCAGAGTGAACTGTAATGCGAACTGCGGACTTTGGGTATCATCACAGGATCATCTTTTTTTTTTTTTTTTTGATGTTTCATTTAGTGGAGCGTGTTGATAATGAGGCCACGCTTGTATGAAGGTGGGGGGTGTACGAGAAATCTCTCCACCTTCTGCTCAGCTTTGCTGGGAACCCAACACTGCTCTAAAGAACAGGCTATTTATGATGCATAGAACACGTTTATTATATGCATATATATGTACTTTTTAAGTAAATGAAGCAGTGGGATGTCTTGCAATGTGGATGAACCTCAAAAACATCACACGAAGGGAAAGATGCCAGTCACAAAAGACCACACATTTGATTCTCCAGGGAAAGGTCTAGAACAAGCAAGTTCGTGGAGACAGAGTAAATCAGTAGTAGTTGGCTAGCACTGGGAGGACGGCTTGGAGATGTGGGGATTGACTGCTAGTGAGTACGGGGGCCTCTTTTCCAGGCAATGAACTGTCCTAAAATGACGTGGTGCTGGTTGCAGACCTCTGCCAAGAGCTAAAACCCCACACTTTAACATAGGTGAATTGTAGGATGGGTGAATTACATCTCAATAAAGCAGTATTTTTTAAAGGGAGGGGGGGATAGAAGGAGCAAGCCTGAAATGGCCCACTGCCCCCCCCCGTCACACCCCCCCCCGCTGTATTACCCCAGCCTGGGTGTGTGTCAGGGATGTGGGGGTGCCGAGCTGTGGATGGGGATGGAATGAGGGACCCAGCAGCCAGGGTTTGGGGCTCCACCACCAGGTAGTGCGGGGGATGCAGGGACTCTGGATGGGCACTAGGCCAGAGTGAGGCAGGCTCAGCTGCAGGTGCAGGGGTGAGCGGAGGCACACGCACCTGTGCAGGGAGCACAGGGGTGTGGGGATGTGGAGGAGGCCGGCACAGCCACCCAGGAGTGCTGAGAGGCGGGACAGGGGGTTGGCATGGGCGTCCAGCGGCCCTGGGGAACCAGCCAGGCGGCCCAGGTCCCAGCTCCCCACTCTGAAGCTGCCTCCAGCTCCAACCTCTTTGTTCTCTCAAAGGCAAAAACAGGGCCTCATTATGGGCCAACAGACAAGCAGGAGCGGGGGCCATGCCTCAACCCCCATCATCCTTCTGGGCACGTCCATTCTGAGTTTTTTTCCGGGCACAGTACTTTTGGGGTTCACCAAGGGAGTGGGCCCCCTAGGCGCTGCGGAGAGACATTCCAAATACAGAGACATCTTTGGAGGCACAAACAAGAATGGCATATAGAGGACTTTGTGAAAACAAAGTCAGTTTTTTTTTTATATATATATATGTAGAGTTCGACTACACCTGAGCAACAAATGCATCTTAGCCTCCAGTTGGGCCTTGAAGCAAGTGCTGCAGGGCCAGCAAAGACCCCAGGCCGAAGCGGTAGCGGGCCTGGGGTGGGGGGCCTCTCTGGCCAGGGCAGGTGGGTGAGGCCGTCCAACAGCCAGCAGGTGCGCCTCCAGGTGGGGGTAGAGGTGGGGGATGGGGGAGTGGGCCCGCTTGGAGGTCCACAGGTCACGGGAGGGGGGCAACAGGGAGATGAGCCAGATGCAAAATGGCCTGGGAGGTCATGGTCAGATCTCTGGACTTCATCTTAAAAGCAAGAGTCAGGGGGGTGGGGTGCTCTTGAGCCAACTATTACCTTTTTTAAAAGATTTTACTTATGTATTTAAAAGAGAGTGAGCCAGCAAGAGCACAAGCAGGGGAGGGACAGAGGGAGAGGGAGCAGACACCAGGCTGAACATGGAGCCCAATCCCAGGACCCTGGGATCAGGACCTAAGCCAAGACAGACGCCCAACCAACTAAGCCACCCAGGCGCCCTGAGCCAATTATTTTTAAAATACTGCGGCACATCCGTGTGTGAGTGTGCACTAAATAAACACTAGGAATGAAACATTATCTATTGAGAATGTGCTTTAGCAAACCGTCTCAGAGATTTCGATGAAATCATCTGGAACACTTAGTTTTGCATTTGTGCACCTTCATTTTAAAGGGTCATTTGTTAACATCTTCACTAAGCTACAAAGACACTTTAGCCAGAGTGTATTGTTTTCCGTCACTGGTCCCCTCTATTTATTCTAAACTGCTCTTTGTTTTACAGGAGTTCATTTGGATTTTTTTTTTTTTTCTGTTTGCTGGAGTGCTCCCCTGAGTAACTTTGTCCTCAACAAGAAGTATCAGTTCTGAGTGTTTGCAGGTCTGAAGAAATGTCTTTCTGTCGCCTTTGCTGCAGATCAGCAGTTTGGCCAGGTAGAGAATTCTTAGGTCAGAAACCTTCTGGGAGAAGTTACAGGACTTCTCAACTTCTGTCATCTTAATGGGTCATAAAAACCTTAGGCCAAAAATAAAATCATTAAGCCACTTGAATGTGCAGCCACAGGAGACGGATTAGTCATCAGAAGATGGCCAGCCAGTGGGAGCCTATCCATAAAACAGAGCAATCCATAAAAAAAAAAAAAGGATATTGTATCTTTATGATATAGAAAAATCTCTAAAATACACTAATTTAAAACTAGGTGCATAAGGGGTCTAAAGTATGCTTTTACGTAAAAAAAAAAAAAAGGAAGGGAGATATACATGTATGTGCTGGGAAATGCATTAATTATCTTTGTAAGGCTACAGAACTAGAAACGTTTCTTGCCTCTGTAGAGAGAACTGAGGCTGGTGGGGGGACAAGGCTGCTAGGGAGCCTTGGTTCAAAAAAAATTGTTTTATATCTATTGAATCTGAATCTTAGGGAAGTTCTATGGAGAAAATAATTTCTGTGCTGTCCTTTCATTTGACTTAAAAATCATTGGGCAGCCCCGGTGGCTCTGCAGTTCGGTGCCACCTTCAGCCCAGGGCATGATCCTGGAGATCCGGGATCGAGTCCCACGTCGGGCTCCCTGCATGGAGCCTGCTTCTCCCTCTGCCTGTGTCTCTGCCTCTCTGTCTCTCATTCATAAATAAATAAAAAAATAAATAAATAATAAAATATTTTTAAAAAATCATTATAAATATGACTAAAATCCCTGACGCTTTGCTTTTAGAGATCGCACAGCCAATCGGCAATCCTCCTGGTGGGCTCTGCTCCCGGGTGTGTTCTCAGGCCTGGCCAGGAGGTCGAGTAATCCAAGCTGATCGCAGGCTTTCCCGTCTGCAGTGTGTGCGCCACGCCTTGCCCCCACCCCTGCAATGCAGGCCTTCACTACGGGGGGCTGTACTGGCCTGCAGCCTTGCACGGAAACTCAACTGTCTCTTGCCGAGGGGGCACCACCACCGCCTTCCTGAGCCGAGGGCGATTTTCTTCAGTTTCCTTCTGTATCTTGCCTCCTTGTGCCCCCTCTTCCTCTCCAGCACCTCCTCCGTGTAGACCCCCTCTCCTGCATGGCTCTGGCACATGATCTCTCTCCTGCATATTATTCCTTTGTATATGTTCTTCGGGTCACAGAGGGCTTGTTTTCTCATTTTCTGTTTCACTTCTCTGTTCTGATCTTAAAGCCTCCGTGGAGGATTCTGATTTGGAAAATCCTTCTTCATCCCCAAGAATTCTCTGTTCACAGGTTATTTCCTCCTCCCAGCCTTTGTTTGATGCAACGTCTCTCTCAAGTATCACCGACAAGGCAAGATGATGTTGGTGAGTTTTTTTTTTTTCTTTAAAATTTTACTTATTTGGGATCCCTGGGTGGCGCAGCGGTTTGGCGCCTGCCTTTGGCCCAGGGCGCGATCCTGGAGACCCGGGATCGAATCCCACGTCGGGCTCCTAGTGCATGGAGCCTGCTTCTCCCTCTGCCTATGTCTCTGCCTCTCTCTCTTTCTCTCTCTGTGACTATCATAAATAAATAAAAATTTAAAAAAAAAATAAATAAATAAAAATAAAATTTTACTTATTTATCCATGAGAGACACCGAAAGAGAGGCAGAGACACAGGCAGAAGGAGAAGCAGGCTCCACGCAGGGAGGCTGATGCAGGACCCGATCCCAGGACCCCGGGGTCACACCCTGGGCCGAAGGCAGATGCTCAACCGCTGAGCCACGCAGGTGCCCCTCCCTGTTTGTTTTAATTCTGGGTTTTCTGCTGCTTCTGGAGCTGTTTTAGGGCGACCCCCCACTGTGAACTCCCTAGGCAGCCCGTCCTCCCAGGGGCCTCACGTCCTCCCAGGGGCCTCACGGCTGCCTTGGCCGGCTCTCGGCGCCCTCCCCACGTGCGGGGTCGGGGCCTGCGTCCTCGCGCCCTTGGTCTGACCTTGGAGAGGGTTTCCTGGTCGCCCCAGAACTTCCTCTCGGGCGTCGGCTCTTCCTCGGGTGGCGGGGAGGCCCGGGTGAGTTCCAGGGAGTCGACGGGAGCGAGCAGCCGGCCCTGCCGTGCCTCCAGCATCGACAGCTTTAAGCGCCCGTAGGCCTTGACCAGGGCCGCACAGGGCAGTTTGTGGGGCGGCTGCTCGAGGTCGCCGGAGCTGACCGGGGGCAGCGGCACCTTTGCCTTCCCGCCCTCGTCCGGGGTTTCCGGGCAGCTGGGGGCGCACGGTGGCTGCGAGGCCATCTCGGAGCCTGGCCCGCGGGATGCCGACCCCCGGCACCTCGGCCGGCCGCGAACGGTGGCGCCACGCGCCGAGGCCTCGGCCCTGCGACCTGCGCCCTGCACTAGGCTCTGCGCCTGCGCCCTGCACCTGCTGCCTGCGCCCTGCACTGCACTCGGTGCCTGCGCTCTGCGCCCTGCACCTGCGCTCTGCGGCCTACGCCCTGCGCCTGCGGCCTGCACCTGCGGCCTGCGCCCTGCACCTGCGCCCTGCGCCTGCGCTCTGTGCCTGCGGCCTGCGCCTGCGTCCTGCGCCTGCGGCCTGCACCTGCGCTCTGCGCCTGCGGCCTACGCCCTGCACCTGCGCTCTGCGCCTGCGGCCTGCGGCCTGCGCCCTGCACCTGCGCTCTGCGCCTGCGGCATACGCCCTGCACCTGCGCTCTGTGCCTGCGGCCTGCACCTGCGCTCCGCACCTGTGTCCTGTGCCAGCGGCCTGAGCCCTGTGCTGTGCTCTGCGCTTGCGGCCTGCACCCTACCTGCGCCCTGCACCTGCGCTGTGCCCTGCGTCTGCAGCCCACGCCTGTACCCTGCACTGGCGGCCTACGCCCTACCTGTGCCCTACAGCTACGCCTGCGACCTGCGCCCGACATGTGTGCTCTGTGCCCTGTGCTCTATGCCCTGCACCTGTGCTCTGTGCCCTGTGGCCTGCACCTGCGCCTTGTGCCCGCTTCCCAGGAATGACACGTCCCCCGCTCTCCCGGGCACTCCGGTCCCCTCGCCTGCCGTCCACGCCGAGCACACTTATGCCCAGAAAAACGGGCTTCCAGCCCTGGGCACAGAATGATTGAGACCAAGCGCGTGGCGCCGGCAGCCCCCTCCCCTCGGCCTCCCATCGGCTCCTCCTGGCTGCATCTACAGGGAGGTTGCAGGGGCTCCTGACCCACCTCACGTCCTGCCAGCACCAGAGTAGGATGGGCCCTGGGTGAATTAAGATAGAGCTGTAGAGCACCTAATGTATCAGAGCATGAAGGAAATAGCTGTCACAAGGTGAGTGACGGAGAACAAGTGTCACCTCTAGGGTGGTAGCAGCCCCACCGATAGGAAATGACAGGGTGGAGATTACAAAATACTAAGGATTATCACCTCTGGGCGGTAGAAGGAGAAGCGGCTTTCTTCCTTCTTGCTTTTACAATCGCTCTGATCCTTTGAACTCCTGCACTTTGCTCAGACGTGTCATCAGGGCAGAGGAGGCAGCATGGGAGCTCCTGCTCCTGGTCTCGCAGACTGTCCAGGACACTCTGGTGACATCCACCCCGAGAGGCTGAGGCCCCCCGCCACGCTCCTGGCCCCACCATCAACCACCAGACGCCGCAGCCACGTGCCCATTCCGTCTCTCTTACAGGTCCTGAATTAAGTCCAACTGCCCTTATCTGGACGAGGCTTTCTTCACGGGCAAAACCAGGGAAAACCCTTCACTTTAAATTTCTTTGTAAAAGTTTCAGGAAATAAAAAAGCAAGAAGAAAATAGAAAAATTCCATTTTTAATTAAACTGTACAGTCTGAATTATTTCCTCTGACACCAACTGAAGTTAAAATTCCAAGGCAGCCTTTGAAATGTCAAGGTTTTAAAAATTATTTTACAGCATGAATTTACATATAAATACAATCTGTACAATGTATTAACAGAGCAATCGATGAGCTTCCATCATGGAGGAGATCTGGTCCGGGACACATCAGCGCAGAATTCAATTACTGCCTCCTTAGTGGGAGGCTTTTCAGTCTGGAAAAGGACATAAAGGAGAGGGAAGGACCATTAGGTAAGAACTGAAAGCGAGACAGCTCCGTGGGGGCCGAGCATGCCAGACCTCCCCGAGTCACAGGGGCACACGGGTACCCACAAGACACAAAGGATGACCACAAACCACGAAAGCATCATTTAATTTGCCTTTTAAAAATGCTTTTCTGTTGCTCCCAAAACACATGGGAAGACTCACACCCCACATCTCCTATTAGGACCTGTTTATAAAACAAGTTCTAATCCTGGTTCCACTCATCTGTCTCATGTAAGACCTCTGGGAGAGAGTTGAAAAAAAAAATAAATCTGCTCCAGGGCCAAGAACTCCCGAGCTGGCAGTCTTAAATCCCAGCTTCAGTGTACACAGGGGCATTCATTGAGCAGGATCTAGGCCATACTGGCTCTAGATCCTTGCTCAACAGCCCCAAAGTGAAACCAGATGTCCCCAACAGCAGAAGAGATGAATACTCTGGTGTGATCCCATAAAGGGACACCCCATGGCAATGAGGACAAGCCAGCTGCTGCTGCAGGAATAAGGGGAGGGGGGTTCTCACAAGTTGATCTAAGAGTCACATTACAGGTTCCTTTAAGTAAAGTCCAAGCGCTAGAGAGTGGTGACAGAGGCCAGCCAGAGGGGTACCTTGGGGAATGGGGGTGGGCAAGCTAAGTGGAGGAGACACAAGCAGCTGCAGGTGCTGGTGTATCCCTTGTTGGGCAGTAAGAATGCATCAGGGGAAGCTTCTGGCCTGTGCACATGTATGTATGTGTGTGCACTACAGCACATACTAAACCGTGGGTCAATCTATGTCTGTGTAATTCTAGAATAAGACAAACTGACAGACACAGGACATAGACCAGTGTCTCGGGGGAAAGGGGTGGAGGTGGCGGGTGCTGAGGGGCTTCCCCTGCAGGAATGATTCATCAGATAGCCCCAAATGCTCAAGGGTGAGGGCCTCAGGTGTGGGCGAGGTTCCCTAGGCCTGGCTGTCCCACCTACGAGATAAGGGGCCCCAGGTGTGGGCCTCACAGGGGTGCATGAGGATGAAATGAGCCATGCCCAGGGTGCCCCACAGCCCCTGGCCCCCATCACGCTGGCGTGCCGGAGGACGGGGAAACAGGAGTGGGTACAGCCACTTCAGGAGGCTCGTAATGAAACTGAAATGCTCATCTTTGTACTTTTGAATCATGTGAATGTATCGTCCATTCTGAAGAACTAAATGGAAAAGAATGAGGGGGTGGCACTTGTATTTCCAGACAGCAAGATATGTTTGCTTACAAGGCCAGAGTCATTAAAACAGTGTGGACAGAACAATACCAAATGGCTAGGAAACCAGAGGAGAGACTGGAGGAGCCGGCCCATATGGGGACTCGGTACATGACCAAGCTACTCTTCCCTCCATGAGCCGTGTGCAGGGCTGACGTGGCCAGAGCACACCTGTGCCTCTCCCCCTTCATCCTGAGCCTGTGGCTGGACTTCCTCTTCCCCGGCCCCACGGTAGCCAGGCTGTGCAGCTGCGAGGACTGTGATATCTAGGCAGAACCACGATGACCCCTCGCGCTCCACTCCCACCCTCCCCCTCCTATGAGGGCCATGCACTCAAGTGGAACAAACTGGTGTCCTGGGAAACTTACTTGGTGTTTTTTTTTTAATTATTTAATATTTATTTTAAGTAAGCTTTATACCCAATGCAGGACTCGAACTCACAACCCTGAGATCAAGAGCTGCACACTCAACCAACAGAGCTGGCCGGGCACCCCCCACCCTCCATGCCACTGGGATGTGGGGGTTCTTTGTCAGCACTAGCTCACTCCCTTGATGAGTACAACTAGCTAGTCATTTGGAGAAAAGTAAGCTAGGTGCTTACTCTGTTCACAAAAACAAAACCAAAAAATCCAAATAGATTAAACAAAACTATGAAGGCATGAGAATAGCCCATATACATATATAAAATCTTGGGTTAGGGAAGGCCTGTAGGAGACAAAAATACAAAACATACTCCCCCCGCCAAACTGGTAAAATGGAGGGCACCAAAAATTAGAGCTTCTGTGCAACGAAGATAGTTAAAAGCCACATGAGCGGTAAAACACTAAAACAGAAGGATTAATATCCAGAATTATTATTTTTTAATTCCTAAAAAATCAGTAAAATAGTACCTTGACTGAGACAAGAAAAACAGACAATGTAACAGAAAACAGAACACTGTGCAGAGAATGTGAGCAAACCACTCACAAGAGAGCCCCGGGCAAGGCTGTCCTCCAGCCTCTCACAGCACAGGCCACTCCACCTCATTACCAGTCCAAGAAATACAGATTCAAGTGAGATGCCATGCTTCACCCATCCTGCCGGCAAACATTTCTGAACCGTTTGTAACTGATGGAATAACAAGGTGCTTTCATGTTTTTTTTTTTATTTTACTTTTTTTTTTTTTTAATTTATGATAGTCACACACACACACACACAGAGAGAGAGAGAGAGAGAGAGAGAGAGAGAGAGAGAGAGGGCAGAGACATAGGCAGAGGGAGAAGGCTCTATGCACCAGGAGCCCGACGTGGGATTCGATCCCGGGTCTCCAGGATCACGCCCTGGGCCAAAGGCAGGCGCCAAACTGCTGCGCCACCCAGGGATCCCGGTGCTTTCATGTTTTAAATGGATACAAAATACTCTGGCAGCAGTTATTCATTCTACATGTTCATACTCTATAGATTTATGCTACATAAAATATTTATTTTAAAAGTCTGCAGCAACAAAATGTGTGTGCGTCAGAGAAAGAGAGAAAGACTGAACAAAAGAGTTTTGAAAGTTACACATGAAGCTGATGGCAGGGGTTGCTGGAGAGAGAGGTTTGGGGAACTGGGCAAGGACCGTGAAGCTTTATCTGTAAGGTTCAAATTTTCACAGTAATAATATACTCACATATTTCTTGTCTAAGTAAAAAAATGAACTTCTAAAAGGCCTAGCCAATACACAAATTGATCATTTCTGACATTTGCCTCTCAGCAAAGACATCAATATTCCAACCAGCGTTTGGAAAGTGTCTGAAAACCCCTGTCCCCCATTGCCTACCTTCTCAGCAGTTCCTGGGGTGACAGGTCTGCAGGCCCTTCTTCGTCACTCTGGCTGTCACTGCTGTCTGAACTCTCAGAACTACTACTCTTCTCTGATTTTTTATTCTTTTGCCTGCCTTTGTGTTTGTGCTTCCGGTGTTTCTTTTTCTGAAAAAGAAGAGTG